TATAGTGCTCAAATTCATAAGCAAAACCTAGTGGTAAAAACAATAGAAAAATGGGAAAATAATGTATTGCTATTTTCAATAAATAAATCAGAAATAGTAATAAAATATAATATATTCTACATTGCAATTATAGAGGACTGCAAAATAAAATAATTTGACACTCACTACATGAGCAACATTTATTGTGGATAATACCAATATCAAGTTATGTCTTAGATACAGAGCAACAAGAATATTCACACAAGCTTGCAGAAGTGCATGCATTAACAACTAATTTGTAATACATATTGTCTTATCTTAAAAGTTGAATATGTTAGCTACCATCTAAGCCAGAAAATTTTCCAAAGTATATCATTAAAATAGAAAAACCAACCACATACATGGAAACCAAGGAGCTGATTCAGATTATTGTGTGAAGTAGAAAATATTAGGAGAAAACAGTATTTTGGATAAGTAATTCCCAATCCACCCACATAATTAGGCATTAGGTATCAGTAAAAATAAACTATGTCTAGAGACATTAACATGGATGAAACTACATGAGTATTCATATGAAAAAAAGTCAGCGTCCAGAATCATACAAATTTTATTATTCTTTCTTTTCTTAAACAAAAGGCACAAATGAATCCATAACTAAAATATATTTTGCTAAGGTCAACAGGCACAGGTAGTAAAATTATCACTGAACCTTAGATATAGTTTAAATTTTGGAACCATAATTATGGCTTCTGAATAAATCACACATCCTAACCAATGGAATCAGAAAGGGAGGAAAATAGAAACATCAAAACCAATTTCTCTTTTATATTTCTAACTGTCTATTGTAAAATCTTCTTACATTTTATAATACAAAAGTGTGTATACAGGAATGTATTGACTCTCTCGGATGTTTGAAAATCAGGAATAAAAATAGACTTGTACTCCTTATTTTCAAATGATTTCTCAATCCATGGGTTTGAGATGTCATGGGTTTCCCATGAGCAATGGGGGCTGGGCTGTGACAACAGAAGTATGCACCTGCATGTTTATGGGCTCATGTATGTCAGAGTATGCATTATTATGTAAACAAACATTATTTTTTAAATAAATTCTACATTAACAAGTGATTTTTCTTTAGAGTACTCCTAAGATTTAATATCTTTGAAGTTTTGCTTTGTAGACTTAAAGACGTGAGAAAGTTTTTTCAATAATGTGGAAATGTGTAAGTTTGAGAGGTAAGTATGTTCCATGATTATAGACATATCTCAGCTGCATGAAACAAAAGTTGATGGATTCAACATCATTAAATTATGATTCCTTTAGAGATTTTGCCTTCCGACAACGTTTAGAAAGGCACTCTTGACCTCTTTATTCCTCAAACTGTAGACTAGGGGGTTCAGCATGGGGATGACGATGGCATAGAACACAGATGCCATTTTGTCCGTGTCCATGGAGTGACTGGAGCCGGGCTGTAGGTACATGAAGGTGACTGTCCCGTAGAAGATGGACACTGCAGTGAGGTGGGAAGCACAGGTGGATAAAGCCTTCTGGCGTCCTTCAGAGGAGTGCGTCCTCAGGATAGTAGTAAATATAAGTAAATACGAAGTCAATATTACCATGACAGACAAGAAGGAATTGAAAGCTACCACTAAAGAAATAACTAGCTCCGTGATGTATCTGTCAGAGCATGAGATAGCCAGAAGGGGAGGAGCATCGCAGAAAAAGTGATCAATCACATTGGACCTACAGAAGGAGAGCCTGAAAATGTTCCCAGTGTGGATGGAAGCATCCA